GGGGGGCGGGGGGGTAGAGAAGAAATGTTGTGGAAGGGGAAGGGGAAGGAGGGGGAGAATATTAACTTCCGCGAGTTACGACATTACCCATATCCATTCCTTAACCCTAGTACTAACTATTAACTACCAACTATCAGAACCATTGATCTGCCTGCCGTCTCTCAAGTGGCCTATGATCATTGGGGGCCAGGAAGTTTGACAGGAGAGCGAGAGGGGAAGTTTCTTACATTGTAATGAAATTTAGGAGAAAAATCCCAGATGCTGAGATGATGGAATAGATGACGAGCCGAGGATAGAGGGAGGAATGATGATTGAATATCGATATATCCGAACGCTATTCATATACCGCCTGGTAGTGTGGTGTGCTTACACCTGACCCTAATTTAACTCAGACCCTCTGTGCTATTATAACCGTAATTTCGTCTAATTGATTAATACTGCGATCGTTTGATTAATTAGTACGTATAATGGAATAGACGGTATTATTTAATTAATCATCATAAGCGAATTGTTTGTCTTTTAATGTAATAATAAAAAGTAGTTTTTAATTAAAGTATACCCCTCGCCTAAGAAAGTAAATAAAGTAACCTAAATAATTAAGTACTTAAAGTATAACTCTACGTAATTCCTATACCTAAACAAAGGAAAAGTAAGGCTATTCCTAGATTATTTAACCTTTATTTTATAACTAGTACTAACTCTCGTACTATCTCGTTGTCACGAATCACATGCTCACGTGATACTTGTCATAATAAAGAGGCGCAACCCTCGACAGGCACATCCAGGTTTCTTATAGCAAATAGGGATTGCTTAGGCCAGCTAAGCGATCCATGGATTTCATTTGGTTGTTGTCACGTGATGGACCCCGATGGATCCAGAAGGGATCCAGTAGAACGAAGGTTCTATATAAGACTGGCACTTCTGCCATTAGATAGGAGCTTCGTGCTCAACTTAGTTATCAATCTTATCATATTAGTTTGACATCTTTGATACAAGTAACGAGTTCACTTCCAAGTGAACAACCCGATAGTCTTCTTCTTATCATAGCATACCAACCAGCGAACACCCAGCCAAGTTTAGTTAGCCAGTTTGAGTATTCGTTACACTCGTCCTTTTTTTACTATTTTTAAGCCGGTT